ATAAACGCAACAGAACTGTATCTGCGCTGTCTCGGGGAGTTCTTTGGGCTGAACCTGACATTCACTTAGCAACCTCTTTGCTTAACAACCAGGTTGCCAGTCCCAACTGTGGTCACTAAATGAGGACCACCTGTACAAACCTGTGAAGGTTGTAAATGTGAGGACTGGCTGTAAAGTTACTTTTTCATCACTGTCATAACTGCAGTCACTAAACAAAGCAGTCGCTAAATGAGGACTACCAGTATAGTGTGTTGTTTGATTAAATTGGGAAAGTTGTTGTTCCCCTCTACATCCCCTGGTCCTGCATTGGTATGTCATTGCCTGCTGTGCAAACTCAGCTTATGGTTCAGTGTATTAGGGAACCCAGAAAATTGATTAATTCAGTAATTGGGGTAAGCACATCATACAATCATAATTGACATATAGCTTATATATATTTATGGGATATGCCTATGAGGTTGGACCACACCAGAATAGAAGTGCTGGTAAACAAGGGGCAGAATGAGACAACAGTTGGAAATGAGAGCAACAACTACCCACCACGGGTAACAGAGGGAATACGCAATATCCAGAGCACTCACCAGTTGGCGATCTTACGGATTTTCTGCCCAATCTGTTCACCCCAATAGGAGATGAGGAAGATGACCCAGGTGATGCTTTCCCCCTACACAGGAAAGGACAAGTTGCTGAGAAGCATTTTCAATAGGGAGGACAGGAGAATGGGGCCTTCTTCCCAAGCCAGGCTAAAAAAGGTATTGACCATCTCCTAAGCTGTATTTCTGCCTGTCCATCAATTGATTGATTATGTACCACCAGATCTGTGTGATCTGTCTCTGACCCAGCCCTTCAGGTCTTCCAATGCCTCATCCATGACTGCTGTAATCTAATCCTACCCATCTTGAATCCCACATGCATCCGTAGACATCCGTGAGGGCGGGGGAGGGAAGTATGAAAGCACAGACAGACTTCGATGACTTCACAGCCACACTGCCTCATTTTAACAAAACCTCTGGTTGCTGTGGTCATCCCTGCATGAAGCTAGAGTCTTTGCGTTGCCTGCAGCCATTTACACTGTATCCCAGCCTGAGGTACTCTTGTTGTTTTCAACTGCAAATGGGAGTTGCGGTCCCCACACATTTGGAAGGCACAAAGTTGGGAAAAGCTGCTGCAGCCCCTCACATGTTACTATCCCCAGCCACCCTGCCCAGTGTTTCCTCTTATTTCTCTTACCGTGGATGGATTTTCAACAGGCTCTGGCATGTCTGTGAAATGAAGAACAAGGTAGCCACGGCACGCGCGCCACAGCAGCCGTTCAAAGGAATTCACCCGCCATGGGTGTATCACACCTGCCACAAAGCTTCAGGGGCAGGGTGAAAGGGAGAAAACCTAAATTAAATTTTGAAGGCTGATTGTACAGTATCCCAAGGCAATGTTACACACATCATATATTAAGTTACGTATGTGAAGTCCACTTCAAAGTGCAAAAGTGCTTCAGGTATTCCATGAAAGGAATCCCTTGAAATACCCTCAAACTTAGGTAAACATGATCCCTTGCAACAGGTGAGAGAAGAGTCAGCAAGCTCCACACCTCCTACAAAAGTATCCCTTATCTGAGCAATCATCACCCAACCTCCACTCACTTGATTCTGAGGTCAGGACGGTTTAGCATGGTGGGGTCGAGCAGAGGATCTCTTTCGGAGAAAGCACGAGAGCGGACAGGTGAATCGAGGGGCTCCTGCTGGTAGAAAAAGAGCCTGTGACGGGACAGAAGATGCGACAACCCAGGACTCAGGCCACAGAATGCCTCCATCCACCATCCCTGGTCATTTGGTGGCAAAAGGTGTCTCACTCTCAGCCTTTTGTTCATCCCTTGGACCCAAGGCCTCAAAAACAACCCCTCATAGCTCCTCTTCTCCAAGTCCCCAAACTTTGCCTGACCACCAGAGAGGGAGGTGTGGAACAGAAAGAGGAGGGGATCGCTTACCAATTGACCAGTGAAGCGCTGGCCCTCCTGCAGCACCTGAATATGTTCCCGCAGCTCCTGCAGCTGACCAACCAGGGCCTCCCAGTTGTGGCTCACCTCCCGCAGCTCCTGCGCCAGGGTCTCGGACTGCTCCTGGATACGCAGGGCCTCGCGGGCCTGGGGTGCTGGCAGATTCTCCTCTGGAGGCTTCAGGGACTGTCCAGCTTTCTGCACTTCCTGGGCCAAAAAAGCTGGAGACAAAAAGGAGAAAAAGAGCCCCAGAACCTAGGATTGGTGACTTATTCCAGGTTTCCAACAGCTCAGAAAAGGGCTTCAGCAGGCTCAGTGCAGTCACCCAATACTGGGACTCAGCAGCAGGATTTGTGCTTTACATGCAGAAGAGCCCAAGGTGAATCCCCGCCAGCAGGGAAAAAATGCATCCAAAACCTGAAGGAGACGAGGCCAAATAGGGCCGGCAATGTTAGGCTAAATCAGTGTTTTTCCACCTCGGCAACTTTAAGATGTCTGGACTTCAACTCCCAGAATTCCCCAGCCAGCATGGGGAATTAAGTTGCCAAGGTTGAAAAACACTGGGCTAAATGAACCATGAGTAAACTCAATATATTGCAAGTCTTGCTGACTGCAGAAATGGGACACAGGCCGAGCACCCAAAAAGTTATGCCGCACAGCTTTGTGGGCTACATTCAGCCTGCTAGCTGATAAGCTGCACTGGCCCACCAAAGTCACAACTCCAATCATTCTTACATTTTTAGTAATATGAAACTTAGGAGTTCTCTGCACGCCTCACTTCTTAAAACTCTCTGCAATTTTTATGAAATACTGAGCACTTCCCTATAGAAAAAAGGCATGAGTTTTTATAATCGGAGGACACAG